TCCACTGGCTTGTCGCCACAACTTGCCGGCCAGCTTCGCTCGTCTCTTCTGACGATCTTTGGTCTCAGCACTTGTTGATGGTTCTGCAGCTTGCCAAGAACGGTTCGACAACAGACAACACAAGACACAAGCAAGTGCTCTCGGTCACCCAACAGAACACCAGACAAAGTATAATACAACATATATCTATCTACGTGTCTATCGGAATTTTGTTCCCTCTACATCAAGAGGCACATGTGGGACACAAGACCCTTAAAGTAAGAACTTGAATGTTTCACACTTGCAACAACGCAACGAATTAGAATACCACATAAAGTTGGCCCCTTGAGATCACTCTGAACGAGAGCGCTCAGCCCAGGTCGTGATGAGGTCAAAATTTTGCCCCGAATCGCCAGCGAGAAACCGAAAGGTTGAGAAGGTACTAGCTAGAACGCACTGCTCAATGCACCTGCATTAGCGTTTAGCTTTCCCCCCCCCCCTTTTTTTTGATAGCGAACGTCAAAGTTGCGCTGTGGAGCAACATGCTCCACCTCAGTAACCGGCCACTTTTAGGCGACGATACCTATGCGGCACCAAGAGCGGCTCACACTTGCGACGTTGCACAGGGGAACAACGATACGGCTTGCTACGGATTGACTCCTCACCGCTTAGCTCGATATCGTGTTCGATCACCCTCGTGTTTCCGTGACAGTCCGAAAACACGTCTTCAAACACCAAAACAATCTTTCTCGGGTCCTCCTTTTGGACTTCACTTAACCTAGGCTCTAGGTTTATCTGCTCCCAGATTACCTCCGATTCCCTTTCGATTGCCTCACTAGAACTAAAAATTTCCGCTCCCTCTTCCTCTGAAGCACTTAAAAGTAAATTTACGATTGCTTTCAAGTTACTGTGATAAATTGCTTTCAAGTTACTGTGATAAATTTTGTTCCGCCGCCTTCCTAATTTCACTTCATAATTCGTATCGGGAAGCTTCGATATCACTTTGGCGGGCCCTTCCCAATGAATCTCAAGCTTGTTCCTTTTGGACGGCTGCAGCAGCATTACCTGATTATCAGCTTCAAAAGCACGCATCTTCACCGATTTCTCGTAGTGCTCCTTCGACAGCACTTGTGCGGCGTTTTTGTGGCTTTCCACTAGCGCTTCAATCGAGAGATCCTCACGCTGCTCTCGAATGAGCGTCTCTCGATCAACTCTCGGCAGCTCACTCCAACTTTCCGCTACAGGCGAGAGCGTTGCAACCCTCTCGCTCTGACTCAATGGCGCCATGTCGTCTCCCCATACGCATACCTCGCCGGCCGCTTCCGCAACGGGCCGCTCGCGTGACCGCTCACATGACTCATGCGGAAAATTTCCTTTCTGGGGTTCCGTCGACCCGCTGACAAGGTCACTTGAGAGTTCACTTCATTGAACCAGATCAAGCTGCCGCGATAGCTTCCGCGCTTGCGATCGCGTGAGGGCCATGCACGCTAAGTTGGGGAAGAACGATTTACCCTGCTCTTTGAGAAGCTGCTCTGAGTTGTTGGAGAAAAGATAAGGAAAACGATAAGGAAGCGCGGCAGACACAGCCGCTTCGGTGCGAAGCTTACCGAACGGGCCTTCAATGACAACCGTGGCGATTGGTAAGCAAGCACTCTGCTCCTCGGCGACTTGCCTGATCCACGCGCATTCTCCTGTAAAGTCATCCGGAGACACCAATGAAGGATGGACAACATCCATGTTTGCCGCGGAGTCTCTAAGTGCTCGACACGCTTTCCCATTCACACTAATTTCTTGGATATACGGCTCCAACAACCGCATGTTCTTTTCCGATTCTCGGATTGTTGCAAAAGCAAACTTTTGCTTACAGTTTATCGCGATGTGCCCTTCCTTTTTGCAGTTGTAGCAGATTAGCGGCTTGCGTGATTCAAATGCCCGTGTTGTATCAGTGCGTTGTTTAGGAACCTCACTCGATTTCTCCGCTTCTGTTTGCCCTTCTTCTATACTGTCCTTCATAAGAGACGGTTCCTTCTTGAAATTACGGTGCAGAGCGGGTCTCCGTTGATCAGGTTTCTTTGAAAAGCCCTCTTTCCTTTCATCCTTTTCCACGCGCACTGGCCTGCTGTGCAACTTTCGGCGAGTATAATACTCCTCAGCTAACTCTGCTGCCTTGTTATTTGTACTTCACCAAGTTTGTCCTGCAGCCAAAGTTTGACATCCTCCTCGATGCAGCGGTAGAATTGCTCCAATGCAACGCATTCCACCACTTTATCGCGGTCGTCATAAACACCTTCGCCCTTGAGCCATTCAATTAAATCGGCTTTAAGACGAAACGCGAAGTCAACGTGTGACTCATTCCCCTTTTTAGCATACCGGAACCTTTGCCTGAAAGCCTCGGGTGGCAATTTATAACGTCTTAAGAGCACTTCCTTAACCTCGTCATAGCTCTCAAACGCTTCCTTCGACAAGCAAGTTATTGCGTCGGACACTTCGCCGGGAAGAAGAGCTAACAGGTTCCGCGCCCAAAGACTTCGCTCCAAAGCGTTTCGCTCACAGACGTGTTCAAACTTGACGAGATACTTCGCCATGTCCTCGCCTACTACGAACGGTGGTAGTTCGTCCCGAATTCTAAAACCGCTGACCTGAATCGTCGGAGAAGCTACGCTAGGCGCCTGCGAACACTGTAGGATTGCCAATTCTAGTCGTTTCAACTCTAGGCGCTCTTGTCTCTCGGCCTCCTCGCGCTCGCGACGTTCGCGCCTTTCAACTTCTTCACGTTCGCGAGCTTCTACTTTTCGCCTTTCAGCCTCCTCACGGCGTGCTTTGATATCCACCCAGGCCTCATCGACTTCCTCAGCCGACACTCCCTCATCCTTCATGATCTCAAGGATCGCTTGCTTTCGTTTCGCACGGCCCAAAGTAATGCCGAGTTCCTCACAAATTTCGATGAGTTCCTTCACTTTAAGGTTCTCCATCGTTCACACTAGCCTCTTGCTGTTTGCCCCTGTTAAGAATCTACTTGCCGTACCCACTATATGCCTACTAGCAAGACGCGCAAGCAATTTTTCACACTCCCGTGTTTACCCCCTCTTCATTAACTTTGGTTTCAAAGCGCTTCGACTTGGCTTGAAACGATCAAAGCTCACTTCAATGCTCCACACAGCCCTTCTCTAAACTACTACAACCTGAGCTAGAGTAGTCTGGTGAACTGAGGGGAAAACATCAGGCTCTCACCGCATCGATGTCGCTGACGCCGGCCGATCCCGCAGCTGCCAACCACTGTTGCGAACGACGGCGACGCCAACACGGTCCCGAAGGCGCCACTGCTTCCAACTCCGCCGGGAAGGTCACCAGCCGTTTGGTAGCGTATGTTTCGCAGCTCGCGACTGCTTCTGCGCAGAGCTGATAAGACGAGCGGACGAGACGACGGTGAGTTAAACAAGGTTTATGTACAGCATATATACAGAGGCATTACAAATTCGGCACTGGGGCCGACAGAGACTCGGACAGCCGAGCTCCCCTCTCTAACACATAGGTCTGCTCTCAAACGGGTCCGCTCTGACACACATGTCAGCTTTCACCTAAGACCGCCGATCCTGACGCGCCGCAGGGCTTCTTTTATGTACACCGGGTCCAACCAAAATGTCCAATCAGAAGCGCCGCTGGTCGTCAGGGCAGACTCCTCCAATGGGGTCGCCGCGCCATGCGTCAGACCCCCAGACATGAAGACGCCCGTTGTTTACTCGACGGGCTCGCTGGCGCTGACTCACCGCACGTGCGCGCCAGAAAGGCGCCACGCGTGTTTACGCCGTTGAGTCGTTCGCGTCAGGCGGACTGCGGGCCGGCCTTGACACAGATTGCCTTTTTCAGAGGCACGGCCGTTCGTTGTGGACTCGCAGGCATAACACCGTGTAGTCCGCTGGCGGCTCGTTCCTCTTTGAAGTTTAAGACAAGTTAATATATATATATATATATATATATATATATATATATATATATATATATATATATATATATATATATATATATATATATATATATATATATATATATATATAGGATATGGCACAACGGGAGCGTTGTCAACAAGGATAAATATATCTATATTCCAACAGTTTCGGGAGGGGTCCTCCCTTCATCAGGGGATAACTCATCCCCTGGTGAAGAAAGGACCCCTCCCGAAACTGATGGGAAATAAATATATTTATCATTGTTGATAACGCTCCCGTTGTGCCGTATCCCATACCTTAACGAAGACTAACTGGCCCATTGAATTATTACTCCCACTATATATATATATATATATATAAACGAGTGGCCCCAGGTCCGACCCCTGCTTGGCATAATGCACTTATACGTGGCCTTTAAATGAAACAAACTGACCACGATTGTTCCGGCACGTTGAAATCAAGATAATCAGACGAGAATTTCTATGGTGATAATGTTTTAAATAATAATGTACTGTTTTTGATACTTTGTTGAAAGTTCGCAAAAAGTCCCTGAAAATTGCATCAATTTGTTCAACATTTTAACATTATTACTGATACGGAAAAATTATGATTGGTAACAACTAGCTGTGTTACTAAATCCATGCTGACATTGTGTCAAGATTTCATTTGCATGTGAAATTGCACGATACGTTTATTTATGTAGTACTTTAATATTTCGTAGTTCCTAGACGTTAAAAACAGACTAGGTATGTAGCTCTTTATACACCATTTGACCCCGCTTTTATAGAGTGGTATCACTCGGGCTGTTCTTCAGTCACTCGGGAGAAGACCTTCTTCTAATGAACGTAAATATGAAAAGTGTACGTATTTGGAAATTCGTATGGCATACATTTTTTTTGAAAGCGTGGGGTATATTGTGTGTGTCTCGCTTTCTCTTTCATCAAGTTTTAAAAGCATTTGTAGGATAACCCGTCCACCTATTGGAGCCACACTGATGCAGTGTAGCCAACAACGGCAACCATGCTCGCGGTGCACATTCTCTCTAACGAACGAGTATGTTTTCATGCAGGTTCAACGCCCTTGGCGGAGTTAAATGATCAGACTGGAAAAACCTACCGTCCGAACCTTGCTCCTGGGACTGCTTGTCATTGGCGCCTACTATTGCATCCACAGGGGTGTTGTTACTGACGTCATGTACACACCTCTGGCCAGCTCCACGGCACTGCATTCCACAGATGACTACGGGGCAACTACAACGGCCAAGCCTAAGAGGCCACGCTACATCGTAGACACTCCTGGCTGCAAGATCCCGAATTTCGACCCTTTCGACGAGAGTGTACGCGGATATTATAAAAAAGTGGGCCCGTACAGTTGCAAAGGCAAGCCTTCATTTATTCGACTCATTAACGGGACCACACCAGTGGTCGATGAGCGATCGCTGTTGAAAACTTTCAAGTTCAAACCAAAAAATGTGCGGTGCACTTATAGAGAAATATACCGGAACGAATCATTAAAAGTGCCTGATGATGCCTTTTTTTTAAAGCCCGAAGTTCAACTTCAGTTTGGCGAACCACTGAAGGTCGAGTTCGCACACGTACAGTGCTACCAGGGGGCTAACAACAGCCTGTTCCACCAGGAGTACCTGCTCGTGCCGCTGCTCAAGAAAGACGTCGAAGAACGCTGCGAGCAGGCACGCCACGACGCTAGAGACAAAGGAAGTGGACTAAATATCCTCGTCCTTGGACTTGACTCCGTGTCTCGCCTCAATTTTAAGCGGCACTTCAACGAGACCGGCCGCTACGTGCACGACGTACTTAAGGGTTACGAGCTGATGGGTTACAACAAAGTGGGCCTTAATTCGTATCCAAATCAAACACCTCTCCTGACAGGGCTGAGTGGAAGTGAAGCGAAGAATGCTACGGGGGGCAAGTTCTTCGACACGCTGGACTTTCTGTGGAAACAGTACGCAAAAAAGGGCTACCGCACCGTGTTCCACGAAGAGCAGCCAAAGTACGGCCTCTACAGTTACGTGGGCGACGGATTGAGGCACGCGCCGACTGACTACTACACGCGTCACGCTGTCATGGCCATAGACAAGTCGAAACTCAAGAAAAATTCCTACTGTCTTGGAGCGAGGCCACCGATGGAGCTTTACCTGGACTACATGTTGGGCTTGCTCAAAGCGCTCGACAAGCGACCCTTCTTCGCTTACTTCTGGATGAGCGAGCTGGCCCACGACCACCTGAACATGGCGGGACACTGCGACGTTCCGATGAGAGCAGCCCTAGGCAGGCTCCACGAAAGCGGCATCCTAAATAACACGGTCCTTGCCTTCATCAGTGACCATGGCCTCAGGTTTGGATCGCTGCGGCGGACATACATTGGCAGGTTCGAAGACAGCCTACCGTACGCGTTTCTCGTGTTTCCGCCCTGGTTCCTGAAGCAACACCCACGCTTTGCTACCGCACTCGAGTTGAACCAGAGGCGACTGTCAACTCATTACGACATGCACGCGACGCTGTTGCAACTGCTCCACTCTGGACTGCCACACACGGTGACGGCGCACGGCCAAAGTTTGTTGCAAGAGTTACCTGTGGCGAGGACTTGCGCCAACGCTTCCATACCGACTCAGTTCTGCGCGTGCGTAGAGACGGAGCCATTTCCCGTGAGCCATCCGCTGTCACTAACAGTCGCTCGTTTTGTGGTCGCCAGCGTCAACAGTCTCGTCGAGAAACACCTCTCTGCCAAGTGCACCCCTTGGGTACTCACGTCAGTGATAGCAATCCATTTTTATCCTCGTCCCGCGGTGTCCGGGAACAGAACGGACAGTGACTACTGGGTCAAGTTCTCTGCAGCGCCAGACGACGCTCTATTTGAGGCGACTGTGCGCCACTCCATCGACTCGAAGGCGTCCACTTTCTCCTTGGTACAGCAGGCGGACAGGCTCGACTGGTACAGCTCACACTCGCATTGCGCACGTGGTACCCGCTGGGAGAAGTATTGCCACTGCAAAGGAGCAGTTACACCTCCGTGAAAATCACCCTTTCTCGGGTATGAGGACACTACCAATGGACGACGGTGTTTCTGTCAGTGACGAAACCATTACTACAGGAATCTATTGCGATTGTTTATGACCGGGGCTCAAGAGGAGAGGAAACTCACCGGCAGCCTACTCACGAAACGCCTATGAGTGTCTCAGATGACAAAGTGGTGCAAGGGGGAGGGAGTGCGTGTCTGTGACAGGAGCTGCAGGCTTTGAACTACTGAGACTAGCAGAGAGTATGTAGAAAGGGAGCAGCAGAGATGTCATACTTTGTTACACTACAGTATGCTTTAGGAAAAAACGTGCAACTCTTACTGGGGCCGCAATTGGTAGTGCATGCGCATACCACTGGAAGGGCGGCGAGACCCAGCGTCATCTGCTATTTGTGCACTCACGAGCTAGACAAATGCTGAATGGGGTTGAAAAGCGGCTGAATTTCCTCACATTATTTGTTTAGCCGAGCCTCTGCTGCTTATCGGCTATTTATCACTACAGAAAGAAAATATACGGGTTTGTCTATTGCTGCAGCAGCTTGCCAATGCTACGTTGACAAGGTTTGCTCCCAGTTCTTGCTCCCACCATCACATGTACACAGAACTCCTTGATGATATATTGTATAAACTGAACGTTGTGTTTAATTATTGTTTTTTGTTACAATACAAGAACAGGAAAAAACCAAAAAAGTTTATAGAACAACACGTGGAAGTCAGCGTGGATCAGGAAGCTCAGTGGCTTATTGATCAAATATTTGTGAAAGAGGCTTCATGCGCTATTAACTCCTGAAGGACGGAAATATGGTCTACCGGCACACGTCCATACACTGTTAAAAACGTGGCTTTTATCCCTCTGTCCAGGAATCGGCATAACACTAAAGTGAGACTTGTTTTCACAGAAGCAGTTGACCGTTTATTGGGTATTGTTACGCCACTGTGGCGAAGGTATGAATGCCGTGAGAACAAATTGTAATGTCACGCGATAAATGGCGAGTAGCTCAAAACTTGCAGCACGCAGCTCAAGCAGAAAGCACACGAGAAATTAGGATACCCATGAAGAGCATGAACAAACAACTGTCACAGCTCGACACTGAAAGCGCGCTGCTCAAACTTAAAGGAAGGCGCACAAAACGAATGCACAAGTATACATAGAACGAGCGTGAACCACGGTCACAATGCATACTTGATTATGTGTAAGCAGTGCGCGGCAACCGCAGCACGTGAAGAGGCCTTCGTGCTCTCCCGAATCACGAAATAAGAGCGCCCTCACGAGACAATACTACCCGTGTAGACGCTCGCAAGTTTGCTCCAAGAGTTGGTGCAGAGAAGGAACATACAATTTGAGACACGCCGCATGGTCGCATGGTCACGAATCTATGCACTGCATCTACACTGCAGTATCGCGCTCGGCAGAGCGGCACACACGCATCGCGTGCTCTCTGAGGTAGAGGTGGACCATGCTTCCTCGGTCAATTCGCGCGGAAGCGACAGGCAGCAACGAAGGCTATTTCACTAGCTGCAGCACCAGCCACGGTGGTCGTGAGCGCTGCCCGAATGGTAGCTTGAAGAACACGGGATCGAATCGCGGCCCCGGTGGGCGCATTTCGATGGATCCGATTCGCTAGATGCCCGTCAAAAAAATAAAAATAAACCAGGTGGTAAACATTTCCGAAGCCCTCCCCTACGGCAACCCTGACACGCCAACCCCCCCCCCCCCCTTCTCACTCACAAATCGCTAGCTGCAGCTGCCGTCTTTGCTCACGCCGGTGTTTTGTCGAGTTTCACTAAGTCGCATGTTATAAAATTTAGCTGTTGTAACATATCTTTGCATGACGTTTCGCTATCTTCGTCACTTGTCTAAGGGACGAAACGTATTGTTCTGTTTCTATTGCAAGAATGCCTGATTTATACGAAGGCCTTGTTTATCGAGGAACTTACGGTAGCTTAAAGGAATACTGAACAAAATTTGAAAAACTGACAAAACTTCTCGATTCTACTCAGAAGATGTGACTTTTCTGACAAACAGAGTTAATTTTTCGTATTTTTGAACAGTTGGCTGTATTTGTGATGAATTCTCAGCGCACGGTGCCTGCACGTGAACGCGAGCCGTGACGTCACAATTCCTAAGGCGCATGCAGGGTGCACGTGTGCCTGTCCTCAACTTCCTTTTCTCTAGATATCCTTGATCCCACTGCCCCGCTCCCATAAAGACGCAGATGCTTTACCCTAGCCGGGAGCATTGTTCGCTACCGGTGCTGTTCATACCGGTTCTGGGAAGCGAAGGGGGAGATGTGCGACTCAAGAGACGCTGGTGATGGCTGGCATTGTTGCAGCGCTCGCTTTGGGCGTTTGTGACGTCACAAAACGCCACCTCCTCTAGCTCATGTTGAGGCCATCATACGCCGAAGTTTGTGAAAAAAAACACACATTAAAATCCCTATTTTTCTGTGGTTTGCACCTGGAATGAAAATTGTTTGCTTGTTTTAGGACCAAAATTTTGGCAAAAAAAATTCTGTTTGCTATCCCTTTAAGGTATTGCGACAATAATTATTATGTCATCTGTAGTGTTTTGTAGTGGGTATTTTGAATGTGACTATAAAAAGCCAGCATATAAATGTCTTTGTGAATAATGCAGTGGCCACCCATGCCGTCAGTTGCCTTGCAAATAGTAGAAAAGGAGAAAAAACCCCGGGCCTACGAGTAAGGCGTAGCGCAGTCACAGCGAAAGCTAGAAAATTGGTTTTCAGAGCATCTCTAAACACTCATCGGGTTACTGCTGCAAGCACACTTGCTGGACACCCACTACGGCATTAATAATAATAATTTCTGTGTAGTAGGCGGAAATTCGATAATCTATCCTTCGTCATTCTTCTGAGAAGCGTGGTATCCCCTGAACACATGAAAGGAGTTTTGTTCCAATTGTTCTTGCAGTGGCTGACGACGATGAGTAATTATGCCTGAAGTGTGTATGCGCCATAGTTAATAGGTAATCAAGAACAAGCTTTTGTAGTAAATTGAAGCATTGGATGACGTACTTGTTTCACTGTTTGCATTGGGTGACGCCTGGTTGTTCTGTTGCTGTTGTAAAACGCTTTATTACTCATATTAACGTGATTCTTTTCCCGACATCAAGCATGCCTAAGGCAAGCTTGCCAGCGAACCGCAAGCACCGGCATAGCTCGGTGGTGGAATACTGGGCTGCCACTCAGCGAACTCTGGTTCGAGCCTCACTGTTAATAGATTTTTTTTATTGTTTCTGGCATAGTGATCACGGACACCGGTGGTGGCGGCGGACAACTGCACTGCGCGTGACCCTAGTTTTGACCTCATAACAGCTTTCGCTGTAGAAGCAGGAAGACCAAAAAAATGAAAAAACACTCTAAAAAATTTTACACCCTCAAAGGTGTAAAACGGGTGTACGCATTAAAAGCACCCATATGAACACCCTTTTACGCCCCATTTTTAAAATTTGAGGTGTTCGTAAATAAAACACCCTCAAAACATCCCATTTACACCCTTATATTTGGGGTGTAATGAACAAAGCTACAAATGATTGATTAGTGGGGTTTAACGACCCAAAAATACCATACGATTATGAGAGACGCTGTAGTGGAGGGCGCCGGAAATTTCGACCACCTGGGGTTCTTTAACGTGCACCCAAATCTGAGCACACGTGCCTACAAGGCTACAAATGCACGACATTTTCGGGCCGTTTTGCTTATACTGTTAGTATACGTTAACCATCTTGATACCAGCAAGGCTCCCACTACTAGCTGCTTGCGAGTCTAGTAATGAATCGAAGCAGAAAGTAATGTGACCGAAACGCAGTTTTCATCGATAAAGCACGCAAACTACTATAAGATGGAAGATACAATAGGAGCGACGCTTGTTCAGTAGAGTAAGGGCCAATTCTCCTGTACCTGTTTCTTTCGTCTGTGTAATTTGCGTGATTAGTCAGCACTCACAAAGTACACTGATTTGCCTGAACAAGGTAATGTTGCGAACATTGGTGTAGCCATACGTAGAACACTCAACCCCTCCCCCCGTCCCCCATCTATAAGATTGAAGCTTTTAAAGGTGGAGATAAAACGTCCACCACCTGCAAAAAAAAAACAACAACAACAACACAGTTGTTTAGCCATAACCACCACGTCAGCACGCCATAAGGTCCCTTAAAACAAACTTTGACGTCATGTATTTTTAGCAGGCACGTTTTATTCAATTACTGTAGCGAATGTTCCTCTTCATGTGTCCTTAAGAGTGCGTCATGAAAATTAGAAAAATGCAGAATAAGGACATTTTGGTGACCTTGACGCAGCCTTGCTCACAATGACGGGAGCCTTGTGGACTAAATTGCGAACAAAGCTCTCCTCAGGGAAGCCGATGCTCATTCTCTAGTTCTCTCTCTCTCTCTCCTTTTTTTGTGGATCCCCTTCTTTTAAATTATGTAACTCACCCAGCAGACGTGCTTCGGTCGAAGCCTTGACTTTGTAAGTAGTGAGAAAACAACATTGATGAAATATTTTCAGCCGTGGTTTTGTTTCAAGGACTGCAAGCTAAGTACAAATGTATCGCCGCAACGTGAAGACAGAAGTAGTAATTGAGAGGTTGAGAAAGTAGCAGCAGGTTAGTATTTTTTTACTGCGTGCCAGAGCGTTCCTCTTTTTTCTTGTTATTGCTTGCTCCATAAAAGCGTGCAGATGGCCGTATGCGCTGTCGTCTTCGTTTTCCTAGCAGTACGCACGTGGCAATATGTTCTCATCGAATAGCGTGACGGCCGATGCATGCAATGTTGCAATGTGTTTACTGAAATGAAAGTGTTGATAAAATATCGCCTGCGTGACCTTGAATGTGCAGTCCCTAAAGACCCATAGAGCTAAGCAAAAAGCATCAGCTTAGCTTTTTTACCAAAATTCACTACATTAGGTCGGTGAAGGTGCGCTAAACATTGCTCCTGAATATTACAAATGCGGGTTCTGACTAGTAGCTCGTGATGGCCGCACTGAACCGTCACAAAATTCACTACGATTCAGATGCACTGTAAAAGAACGAGTATAACGCAACAGATCGCTGCCGCAAAAAAAAAAAAGCAGCACGCGCGCTCTCAGCAGAGGGCCGAAGCTAGCGTTAAACCACATCTAGCTGGTCTGAAAGCGCGCCGATGCCATGAAGTCTCGTTGCCTAGACAACCTTGGCTGCCCGGTATTGCTGCGTGCCGGGCGCACAGCGCGGGAAAGGGGTAAAAATTGTCTTACATGTCACTGCGTGCGCTGGCGAAAAACCCTCCCGTGCGTGTGCGTGTGGTGCGCGTGGCTTCTCGATCGGTAGAGTTTGTTAGTCGGTGTTTAGTTTGAAATGTGCCTGCGCTCTGTGCTCCACCAGTGTGTTCTGTCAGTGCTGATTATTGCGAAGGTGCATCATCCTGAAGACTGGACCTGTGGATTCATATTGTGGAGCACTCGAAGTGAAATAGTGAGTACCACTCCCACGTTGTTCCGTTCAGCGCTTTGTTAGTGCGTGAGCACAAGACTAACGCCTTCAAACAATTTTATTTTTCAACTAGTTGATGAGAAATCAGCATTCGTTTACTTATCGAGAATATTTGTCCGAACTGTTTCACGGGGATGATGGCGAAGTGTGATTTTGGGCAAGTTTTTTTGTTTGTTTGTTTGAATTGTTTGCAGTACAAAGCAGAGTGAGTGTGCGCCGCTGAGGTTCAGCGATGAAAATGAACATATTTTTGCGGTGCCCTTTGTTGGCAGCCGTTTTTAACGGGGCCCGCTCGTGCTGCACATCAATTTTAGTTTACTAATTATTACATGTGTGGGGACG